ATTAATCTTAAAAATTCAGCTAAATTAACTCAAAAACATCATAACTATTAAATCAAATAAAGAAAAAGGCATCAACTTTGCTAAACTATTAATTATAGAATAAGATTACCAATAAAGTGTTAACAACTTAAATAATTTTTTGATATCTTTTTTTAATAAAAATAAAAATTTTGAATCTAAATTTCTTGATAAACGAATGAAATGGTTTAACAAATAAAAAATGGTTACCTCATTGTAAACCCAAAATGAAAGAGAGAGAGAAAATGAAAGATTACCAATAAAGTAAGAATGAATAGTTGGAGGAATTATTGACCAAAGCTCGCACAAAATGGATAAAAGAATTGTGCCACATACATCGTATTTCCAACTTATAACTCAATTGATAAAAGCATTTTCTCCTTCTCCAGACGATAGGAGTTCAAATTTCTCTCCTCGCTTTTTTCAAATATTGTTATTGCTCTTGACTTTTGATTTGGAAAACAGTCACAACATCCAAGAAATTCTGCTGTATCCATAAATAACGCATAAAAAAATTTCTTAACTGCCATTATGACTCCGTGTATGAGTTGATGTTATATAATGACTTTAAAGGGATAAAGGCAACTGTAGTCCTCATATTTTGTCAAAATATTCATTACCATCCCTTTACTAAGGAAATATTCAATGCCATCCCTTTACTTTCCTTATAGTATAAATGTTGTTCCTCTATTACACTTTTTTTTGTTCGATGTCACATTTAATTGGATGCCATCCACATTTCCATTAACTTTGATCATTAATTGACCAACAGTCAAACATTTACTTTTTCTTTATTAATTTTTTATCAACCTAGTGGGATCATTTTTTTTTTTCTGATTTTGTATTATTCTTTCTAGCTTTTAAGCCATTATTGGAACAATCAACAAGTTACAGAGCATATGAATCAAGAAAAAAATGATAATAGAGGAATTGGCACGAAAATAAAAGAATGGGACCAAAATATGTGGCAAAAAAAATTTTGTTCCTGCTTGGTGTCTAGAGTCTAGCACATGAGTAGATTTTTTAATCCATTTTGGACAATTTTGGGCGTAGAGTTTTGTGGGTTAGGATGTAGATGGTAAACAAAGAAAGAGAGATGGAAAGGTTGGTGAAGATGGGTGAAGAAGAGGAGCAATTGATTGGGCAAAAATGGCGAAGAAGAAGAGTAAGGTTTCTACTATCGATGGTTTAGGGAAAATGGCTATGAGGAAGAAAGAGAAAGAAATAAAAGTAAGAGTAAAAAAAAAAAATTGGTTCCACTGATCTCATTAAGTGGATAAAAAAATTAATAAACAAAAATTAAATGTTTGACTATTGGATAATTAATGGTTAAAGTTAACGAAAATATGGATGAGATTCAATTTAAGAGTGACATTGAACACAAAAAGTGTAAGGAGAGTAGAGGGATGACATTTATTTTGTAAGGAGAGTAGAGGGATAGTATTGAATATTTCCTTAGTAGAGGGATGGTAATGAACATTTTCATAAAGTATGAGGTCTACAGTTGACTTTAACCTGACTTTAGATGAGGGAAACGTAATCTTTTTTTTTTTCGGCCATGCACCGCAATAGTCTTTTAAATACCAATGAAATAACAAATTCAAATCATTTAAAACATATTAGTGATTTAAAAAGTTTAGTGATAATATATTTTTATTAAAAATATGAGATATTAAAAATAAGTTAAGAATAAAAAAAAATTGTTTTTTATTTTGCAATCCAAGTAAAAAAAAAAATACTATTGTATCTTTATTAAATAATTGCAGTGCTTATTTCTCAGCAACAAAAGTTGTAAAACAGGCCACCTTTATATCTTTTGAGCAATACTAGGGGCACTCGCCTTATGCATTCGCTGATCATCACCCGCTCATGGGTTGGGCCATGTCAATCATTACATTTAAGGTATCACCACCAACTTGAATACAACTGGTTAGGAAGTTTTTGGTTAATATCCCATCAAAAACCAGTTCATTATCGGCGTGGAGAGATGATCCGCCGTTGGCTAATTGAATCCATGGAGAAAGAGAGAAATGGGAGAGAGAATGAGGCTTTTTTGGGTAACCCGGTTATTTCAAATTATCGGTGATGCCTTAAAAGTAAAGGGTGACGTGGTTCAACCCATAAGCGTGTGTTGGTCAGAGAGTGCAGAGGGTGACTGCCTCTAGCATTGTTTATGTCTTTTAGGTTTTGTTTTTCAAGCACAAATTTTTTTATAGAGTATTTTATTTTAAAAT